GCAACACTTTGAGAGTAAACCCCCAGTAGGAGGAGTGATGATGGAGAAGGCGATGAGGAGAGGAAAAACATGAAAGAATGGGGAGGAGGACAGGAATGGAGCAGATGTATTCCCCCCCCCCCCCCCCCCCCCATGTGTGCATGGGGGGGGGGGGGATATAAGCAACCTCTCTTATTTTGCAAGAATTTCACTTAAATTGTTCCGTCTTAATGGCACGTTAAAATGACGGAACCCCAGCTAGCTATTATATACTATTCTAAAATGCTCTTCTAACACTGATGAAAACAATTTGGATGAAAGAGAAGATGGAAAATCATTTTCTACATATATGATATCAAATCAGTTTGACATACAAATTATAGTATCAAGATATACTCAAGGGTAATATATTAGTTCAAGTAAGAAATGAAAATGTAAAAATGAGAATAAATCAAGTTTAATAACCCTCTTGGAATTTCTTTATTATTAAAATATTAAAATAAAGCGGCACATTTAGCATTGATCAGAAAAGGTGTCATTGGCCATTTGTCGACATCGCACAATTACAGTGGTTGCACTTTCCACATGTCGCCTTAAGACAAATGTTTGCACTTTACTTGTCGTGTTTTCACACCTTCCTCACCTTATTAGCATCGTGATCACATTAACGGATCATGAAACCAAGTTGAGAAGTCCATCCTTACAAGGACTTCTTATTTCCCTGCATTATACTGCCTCTTCGGTTTCATTTGCCCTCAAGCACATTGTAGCGGATTCCTAGGTTACATTAGACTGCCATCCTAAAGTCATGAAAACGGCTGTGCACCTTTTTAAATGGTTGTTTGCGCTTCATTAACGTATTTCAATTGGTTAATTTGTGCAATTTTGTAAAATGCTCTGCTTTTCTGAGTTTACATAAAGATGCTTTTGCTCCTTTGTCATCTGGTAGGGTTTGGAAATATCATCGTTAATTAACTGTCTGTGGAATCATATTGCCTGGATATGATATTGTGTCATCGTTTTACAACGTTTTGTAGTGTGCTGGATATTGTATGGTACAGGAATACTTGACAGGGTCAGGATTTGACAATGCCCTGAAGCTCAGTAAGAAAAGCCAAATGTAAGTCATCTAGAGACCTTGATAGTAATTACAGTCTTAAAATCAATAATTGTTTTAAAATAAAGCTAATAGAGATGTCAAGTTAAGAGTAATTATTCCTCTATGTTGTGGTGAGACAGCTGTACTGGGAGTTGCAAAATAGGACTAAATTGCTGGGAAACAAACTGATGCATAATCACCAACGAATAAAAACTGTAAATCATTTCAATTATGCAGAGAATATACTAAAGATACCGAATGACGAGCCTCGGGAATTAATTTCCCCAAACCATTGCAGTGCAGCTTGTAACGAAGTATAACCAAAGAGCCGTAATGAGCTCCTTTCATGGCTAATTAAAGTGAATAAACAGTGTGTAATAACTAGCTGTTCCTCTACCTCAGGCTGTCAGTTTTGACCCACAATGACAAGCAGGTTTTCCTGATTTCCTCCTCCTCCACCCTGCTCGTTGTCTGTCCTGACAGGATAACGGATAACACGGCCGCGCCTCCGACTGATGGGAGTGAAGGCCTGAAATCCCCTTTCCGCTACGTCTCAGTTATCAACGTAGCCCTGAATTAGTCAGTCATCTCACTTCAGCTGTCTGGAGTGCAGCGTGTCACTTGTCAAAACCCATCCTCGATGACTTGAAGCCTGCTAACACACACACACACACACACACACACACACACACACACACACACACACACACACACTCTCTGACAGAGACAGATGAACAAATGTGTACACAGTCACACTTCAGGCAGGCAGCACTTCACCTGAGATAGTCTACAGCTCATTTTAAATGGCATCGCGAGTAGCACAGCGGGGTGCAAAACGCCAGGGAAAAAAAAGGAAAACCAAGTACTCGTGAGTTTCCCACTCTTTTCACACAAAACTACATAGACTTCCAGAATACATGACACATCACTCTGCTGTTTGAAGGCAGTGTGTCAGCGACAAAAGGTATGATCTACATACGGTACAAGATGTTTTTGAGTGAGAGACTGACTTGTTAAATTCATCTCATTAGTCTATTATGTGTTTTGCTGTTTCTCAGTATGTTGATGCCCACAACTTTTTTTTTTTTCTAGACAAAATTGATTCTTCCCCTTTCTTGTGTCTTGTCTAATCCACATTTCCTGCCTTGTTATCTTTCCTCACTTTCTATCCAGTATAGACGCTCACAACCGTCGCCCTGTGATCTAATTCAAGTTGAGAATGTGAGTCTATACCCAGCGAGTGTGTCCAGAGGCGATGTTTGACATCGGACATCCACCAGAGGAAGGCCGTCCCACCGCGGACCGTACACGCATCAGTTAGGATGGTCTCATGTGGCGTCTGCTAGGCAGCGGCCACGCTGCGTCACGCACACACACACACAACACAGCACTCACTAGGGTCCTGAGCGTCCAGGCTCAGACTGCGTGTCGAGGAGCTGACCTCGCTCTTCGCAAAGGTCAGCCTTTTGGCACACTTGAAAAAGCTTCTCGTCTACACCTTATGAGGGCCCCTACCTGCCCTGGCCAACTGATCGCCTGCCCGCCCGCATGTGTGTCAGCTTCTCATGATGATGAGGAGGATGGGGGGGAATCAAAGAAGAGATGGAGCTGATGCTGGGGCGAGCTCTCCATGGGACACCAGGTGATTGGGGAGGGAGCTTTGAGGCAACTTGTTGGATGGCTGTCCATTAATGTAAAATATCTGCTTTTCAAAGGGCTTTTATTCAAGCTCGGAGTAGCGGAGCCCGTAGGGGTCAAGGTGTCTGTCGGAATAATATCTCACCTTTTCCAGAGACAGCGAGATAAAAGAAAAGGACTGCGTGCGTGGTGACCCGGCCTTTTCCTTTTTAGCCATTCCCCAGCGTCACGGTTTCAGAAATACCGTCGCGAAAGGAGAAAAGCGCAGGAGACAATTCTTGCAAAGAGCGGTCTCTGGTTACATTATAAGAATTTTAATACATGCAGAAGCTGCGGCTGGAGCGGGATACCCGGCCCTCCCCAGTCTATTTGATCCTGCGAACATTATAAAGCATGCTTTTTGATCATTTCTGGCTCGCTATTTATTTTGGTTCGGTCAGGGATCAATGTGACTCCCGGCATTACCAGGCGGCCGAGCGGGTTCTCACAGATCAATTTTCTCCAGTCACCATGAACTGGGGGGGACAGACAGAATGTAATCCACCAAGTAGCAGGTTTATGAACGAGTGAATTACTGCTGTGTAAAGCGCCCCATCCGTTTTAAGTTACCGCGGTGCATTTTTACGGGTCCGTCTCGGATCGACGAGAGCGACGTCGCAGCAAAAAAACGACGTCAAAGATCACAGCGCTCTCATCGTGCGGCGGGACAGTCCCTCTTGTCTCATTCAATGAGGTAGAAGGCGGACACAGACGACACAGCCCACTCGTGACCCCCCATTAACTCTGTGCAAATCTTTGATATGTACTTTGATACCGTATTTTTATTGATACTGGAGGGGCGTTCGTATCAAGTACAGTTCTGCATTCCAGGAGATCAGAGTGAGATCTGTTTTGTCTCAGAAGTTTGTCCCGTGACCCCTGAGGGCGCCCCATAAGCTCTCGTACAACTGATCCTAGGTTGACTGTAGTCCGCTGTAGTATTTTACTTTATTTGTTTTACAAGGGACTGTGATGTATGGGCTCTCCGTGTTATAACTGTCTGCGGTCTCTCTTTCATGAACACCCACATGACTTCGCTCTTCCAATGATCAGCCTGTTTAGATATTCCACTCAAGAGGTTTTTTTCTTTTTGCAGTAAATCCAAAGCGTCTGCATCACGTTGCAGGATGACACCATCCACCGGCAACGCATTTTTATTCATCAACCCCATTTAATTTCACGAATAAGCATCTCCAAAACATTTCTTGCACATCCAGGTTTTTTTTAAATTATTTCTTATGAGTGAATTTTCTAAGTATGTATATATGGAAATGGAGGGGAGGAAGAAAAATCCCAATCTGAGCATCTCCACAACTCACACATACACAAGCACTCAAAGGCTCGAGCCTCTGATCCGACCTGACATCTCCTAAGCTACCGTTTCCTCGTTGCTGCTTAACTCGGACCACATTTCTCCCAGAGAGCCTCTCTCCTCTCGCCAGCCTGGACTTCTCTCCCCACTCCATCCCTCCATATCTCCCTCTCCCTCTCTCTCTCTTGCCGTTCCCGTGGCCCAGCATCTGGTTTGAATATAGCGGCGTGTGCTACTGAGTTCCCGATAGAAGTCGGGACTGTAGGCTTCCCTTTTGATTTTTTTCCATCCTCCTCGTCCCTCTTCCTGCTCAGCTCATACAATGCCCCGCATTGAGAGAGCAAGGTTGAGTGTGCGGCGACCGTCTTGTTGATTGGTGGCATACTGTATAGAGATAAACTGAGGTTAAATTTGGAGTGCTGTTGTGCTTTGTTATTTTGTGTATTTTCTTTTATTTTTTTTGAAATGTTAAAGTTCAATCTTGCTATTATTTATTCCAGATTGAGGTATGCTTTGTCAATGATGATAATGATGACACATTATTTGTGTCTGCAATGTGTTGTTTATTTTTATGATCATGCTTAATGGTCAATATCATTTATATAGCCTCATTTCCTTGGAGGAAATTGGACTTTTATTTTCATTCTTTAACAATTTATCTAGTATTTATTCTTCTTTTTTTTGGGGGGGGGGGGGTGAATGGAACTGATTTGCATCAGTGCATTTCTTTTTTTAACACATCACCAGTTTTCAACCTTTCTTTTTTGATCCGTATAGCATATTGCTCGTCTATTCTTGGGTAGTCATCTTCCACAGCTAGCTTTTTAAAATGTTCTATTTTGAATCCTAAAACGTTTTTGAATTTGAATCCCCAAATGCATCGCATGAAACAATCTGTATTTCTCTCTGTGTTTTTTTCCCCCCGTGCTGCAGACTGAGGCCAGGGAGATGATTCCCAGGATGCTAGCGGAGCTGGACCTGGGCCGGACGGAGAAGTGTGTGAGGGTGAACTCTGTGTCCAGTGGCTTAGCCGAGGCTGACCTGCAGGTCATCCTGCAGGCTGAGGTTCTCCCTCCTGCCATCATGTTGCCCAAAGTGGAGGACACGCAAGAGGTGCAGTGGGTAAGTTCCAAATATTGGCCCCACTTTAGAAGTAAAAAAAAAAAAAAAAAAAAAAAAAAGGATGAATGGAATGATCAGAAAGTTTTTTTATTTTTTGTGTGTAACAACTTTGTAAAAGAACAAGTTGCAATACATGCAAAAACTAAATAAGGCTACATATACCCGTGAGTTTTCTCTCTTTCACCTCTGGGTGTCTTTTAAAAAAAAAAAACACAGTGGTGCTCTTACACAAACTCATGGAGTAAGAGGAAACCACAGGAATCTTCAAAGCAATCATAACAAACTTTTCCATTTCCCAGTAAAAGTGGGAATCGATCCCTGTGGCTGGACTCTGGGACAGACAGCGTGTTTTTCTTGGCCGCTGCTCAAGAAACGCATGACATTTCTTTGGGATTAGCTTTAGAAGCCCGATAGCTTTCTGTAACAACACAATGGTGCCTTCTGCCACTGCTGAACTTACTGGAAATCCGCCTCGAACAGTGCCGTGTTGTGGCTAAGAATGAATTTAATCGAACTTAAAGCACTCAGCCAGACAGAATTGGAAAAAAAAGAAATATGCCTCATATTGCGTTCCATTCCAGTGTTCACGCAGGCCTTTGAATATTCTCGAATATTAAATCAAAAGGCTATCCTGTCAGTGTCTGAGGAAGATCACAAACTGATATCTTGATGTACCAAGTCAAAAGCAAGTGAGACTGCACAGTTGCTTTTGACTTGGTACTTAAAAAGAGCTCCCGTCACGTTTCACAACCCGATCTGACGTCAGATATCCTAAGCTCTTGCACTTTTGTTCACATGAAATAACTGTTAAACAAATACAAAATGATCGCTCACTGATATTGTTCCCAGTGATATTATGAATTACAATTTGTCCTCAACTAACTGGGCCTGCGTGTGCCCTAGTTAAGAGAGGGGTTTGTCTGGGCTCGGCCATCCCTCTGGCTTCCTATAAAGGGGCGCTGCACGGATGTCAGGTCCCCAAAGGTCAGGAGACAGTGGCATCATTAATGCAGGCCGTTCTGATCGGCTCCATATGGTTCACTTACCAGGAGGAGCCCGGTTACTGTCCGCCTCCCTCACTGCTTGTGTTCGAATACAGTTCAAGGGTTCCGTATTAAAGTACTGTCTGCTAATTAAGATTAGGTTTTTACTCTCTCTCTCTTTGCATGCGTTTTTGATACGGGCAAACAGCATACCAAAGCATTCTTATAAATAAATAAAGCTTTTATTACTCTGTCAAGCTGCAAATTCCAAACTGCGTTTGGTGATTACACAAGAGGAGCAATGAAAATGTGTTTAGAGGAGAGAGAGAGGTGAAAGGAAGGTGTCTTGTCTGGCTTTTCCCTCAGTGTTACGACACACACGCACGCACGCCCACACGCACACACACACACACACACACACACACTCCCATACATGGTCTTGGGGCGGGAGCAGGAAGTTTTTAACTAGTGCTTTTAATTAGAACACATCTATTTCCTGCTGCCCTTTTCTTTCTTCCAAGTCTAATTGCTGACAGGTGTTCACCAATTCTCTCCCTGAGCTCAGCTGTTCCTCACAGTGCTACTTTTCTTCACTTCCGTCAATTTTATTCTGCATTCATTTCCTTTAAAAAACAAATTAAAAAAAACATTCACTGTTATAATTATAATTATTATTACCCTGGAAATCGCAGTCAGCCCGTTGAGAGCTGTAAAAACATTGCCTTGCTTATGCATACTTCTTTTCCTTTTACAGCTTTCGTGTGCAGTGTAAATCTGTTTGCACATTGTGGATTTGCAGTGTGTGTGTTTTGTCGGGGTGCGTTTTTTGCAGCAGCAGGTGCATGTGTGCTCCTGAACCAGCCGAGTCCGCGTGGCGCTGGATGGAACCTGGATTTCATTGGTGTGTGTGTGTGTGTTTGTGCTCTCTCTAATCTCATCCGCAAACTTTCTCTGTGTCATCTTTTGCGCGTGGTGTGTCGTCTGCTTTGTGTTGCATACGTCCGATTCTCTCCGCTCTTGTAAATCCCTCACTTGTTTATTTTTCTCCCTCTTTTTTAAAATCTTTTTTTCTTGTTGATATTAGCACGGGAACCTCCAGGACTGATTTGTCGCTAAAAGATGGACTTGCTTGTTTCCCTTTGTGTGGAGAACCTTTAGCTCTGCCTTCCTCCTCTCCCCTTGGCCCTTGTGTGACTGACAGGCCTTATTGGGCTTTAACAGGCGTAACTCCCCCCTTTTGTCCGAGGGACAATTCTCACACGGACTCGGAGCCGTGCGCATTCTTTGCCCACCGCACTATTTGGTGTGCACTGGCACTGAAAGAATCGCGCCCCCACCCCTGTTCCGCTCCTCCTCCTACTCCTCCTCCTCCCCTCCCCTCCCTCTCGGCCCTCTCTCTCTCTCCGCTTCCCCTCTGTGAAATGAACACTTCAGCAGGCCGGAAACATTTAATCTGGTCCCCTTTTGAAGAAAATTAATTGAAACTTGTCCCACTATAGCCTCCTTTTCTCCAGCTCTGTCTCTCCCTCCTTCTCTTTTCAGGATTGGGTGGCGAAAAATTGTCCGAGGGTCTTGTTTTGTAGCGTGGGTCTGAATGGCAAGAAGAGGTGTTATTTCTTCTTTTTCTTTCTTTTTTTTTCTTCCCTTTTCTTATATTTTCTTTCCAATTCAGGAGTGAACAACATCTTAAAGGGCCCTGGTTTTTGAGAGCCATTGACGGCTAATAGTTGCTGTACGCACCGGAGGAACAATGCACGAGCGCCGCACCTCTTATGCGCTGTAAATCAGGCCCTTCAAAGTGCACAATAGCTGAAGAGGAGAGTACAGCGGACGGACAGAAACATGTAATCGGAGGCTACGAGGCTCTTGAGCTGTCATTTGTTTCCCTACCGCCGGTCCCAAAACAGCCCGGCTCGGCTTGCTGCGGCCTCGTCGAGGGGTTTGCGTGGCCGAGGCCTCGCTGTTTGTGTGTGTGTGTGTGTGTGTGTGTGTGTGTGTGTGTGTGTGTGTGT